CTAAAAATGTAGTGGGAGAGCAACCCCTTAAGAGTAGCAACGGATGATTTTGCCTTTAAAAAAACCCTACAACTTTTATTGCTGTAGTGTAGCAGTTCCAAACAGATGATGCCAAGTATTAAATAAAAGCAACTCGTCATTCACAAACATACTCCCAGTCATATCCCGTTCCCCTGCCATCTACTCCCTCAAAGGTTTCCTTCAGCTATGACTGTATGTATTTTCTCTGTAAGAGGAACTATTACTTCAACCTTTGGCTCAACTGCATTCCTTGAAAGCAACACACAATTTCAGCTAAGATGCTACTCTTGTTTTAACAGAAAAATCCACCTAACTAGAAATCACATTTGTAAAAAAGTTCTGCAATCATGAAGTGGTGTGGGTTTTTTTTTCCTTTAAATACAATTCCCGGAAGGATCCACCAGCCACCTTTGCAAGTGACCTCAAGTGGCACATTATTACCTCATGACTTAACTACTGCTATAATAAAAATTGGTGGAATCAGAAATATTATTTAGCTGTCACTTGCCCCCAACAACTCCAGAAAAGCTCAGTTAACCACACTGTACAAAACCAGCTGTCAGTCACCTCCTAGTCACTTTCTCCAAGACACATTAGGTAACTGGAGGTATTATGTGTATAAACTACCAAGGAACATCAGCATCTACCTCAGCAAGCATCTGTAAGGAAAGCGAGCAAGAAAAGAACAAGGAAAAAAAAAGAAGAAAGCCTCAAGAAAAGCCTCAGCAAGCGCTGAAATGTTAAAAGATAACGTCAGAGTGGTCAGTGTTAGGGAAAGCAAGACCTGCCAGGCAGATCTAGCTTGCTTGGGTAAAAAAATGGCAAGAGTTGCAACCCAAGGCCTCGTCCACAGTGAAAGAAGTGGGAAAAACCCCACACCTTTCTGTGGGAGAGTGCACGATTCTGTAGTTCTACAGAACTGCATCAGGATTTCTCACGGGTTGGTGGTACACTTGGACATCTATCTGCATCCACGCCTGCGTCTGCCTTGACTTTTGAATAATTTTTGGCCATCCCTGCAAGTCTATGCACTGGAGTTCCAGCACCTACAGATCGCCAAAGATCCAGTGTCTCTTACGTGCATTTAGTCACAGCTGCTTCTGTAAGGAAGTATCATAAACACAGTTACAGCAGAGCTACATCAACACAAGGGAGTCTATTGGCCTGATTCCACTGAGCACACAAAATCCAACCCTTTATGGGAGACATAGCTCTCCAGTGTAAGAAAAAGTCATCTCAAAATATCAAAGCATCCAGCCAAATGATCTGACAACGATTAGGCTGGGGACAAACCAACAGCCACCCATAGCAGCTCTTTAAAAAATTCTTTTTAATTAGCTCTTCAGAGGCTCAATTCTTAAGACTTCCGTAGTGCAGAGAATTTCTGAAAACAGAACGTCCAAGCTACCTCTGTGAATGAATCTACGGATGACACAGCAGCACTTGCAACAGGAGTCTGCTGGGCCAGGTTCTCCAGCAGTTCCACTGAGATTCCAATCTGGGCCACCGTTGGCGTCTGAGGGAGGTTCATGGCACCAAAGGGATGTTGACTTCCCTTCCCTGAAAGCACCACGAACAGCACACGTTAGATTTGGCACACATGGAAAGACCGTGTTACTTAAATCACCGTGGTTGTTCTGTAGAAAGTGGTACTCAGCTCCCACCAGAGAGGCCTCCCCATCTCAGAAATGCAGAAAAATCACACAGTCCTCCCACAAGGACAAGAGATTTGGCACACATGGAAAGACCGTGTTACTGTGGTTGTTCTGTAGAAGGTGTTACTCAGCTCCCACTAGAGAGACCTCCCCATCTCAGAAATGCAGGGAAAAAAAAAAACAAAAAAACCCCACACCACACAGTCCTCCCACAGGCACAAATACACACACGCACAACAGATGAAACAGTGTGACAGGTACATTTAAAAAACACTGCAGATCTTAAGGAAATTTCTATTAAAAAAAAAGGAAAAACATAATTTTAAAGCTTGCTCTGAAGTAAAAGGATTAAACAGAAAATACAATCTGTGAGTAAAGGACAGCAGAACCTTCCTGCATAGGAACTGAGCCTTTGAGTCACGCTGTAACAAGTGCAGATGAACAGGGAACACGCAGCACCGCTGCACTGCGAGTCACTCATTCAAAACCAGGTTCTTGTGAACCCGTTTGTGCACTGCAAAATGGAGAGCATTATTTCAGGACCACTGTGACTCAAAGTTGTCCCTGTGGAGGGCTGGGCAGCCCCAGGTCTCATCTGAACTGCTCAAAACCACCAACAGTAGCAAAGGTCAAAGAAATAGCCATGGAACAGAAAAGGCCTCTGACTTTGCCAAAGCCACAAAGAAAACACTGGATCAGGCAGAAAAACCCTCTGTGCTCACTTCTGACCTGTCTCAACTGAATATTAACCAGTACTTTCAGTCCCAGCTTCAGCTGGGGTCTCTGCAAACAATGGCAGGCACCTAGAGTCACTTAAATCACACACTCCTCTTTGTCAGCATCTGTAAAGGAGAACACAGGAAAAAGTCAGGGGGGCCACAATGCCAGTAGTAAACAAACAGTAACACCTAAGAACACAACAGCCAAGTACCGCCTTCACACGGAAGTGATGTTCCGGTAGCACCCTCTGGCCTCTTACTAGCAGGAGAAAGCAAAACTAATCAAGAGCTGTCCCACAGACCAGTGAACACCACCTTGAGCTGCAAGAAAGGCTAAAGACTGAAATCTAAAGCACCATCTGACTTAGTTCCAGGGTCAAAAACTCAGCCAGCAAAACCAGCGCAGGTTTGAGAAGTCAAACTCAGGCTCAAGACTGAAGATCTTGGAAACCTGACCATTCTCCTGCAGGGACACAAGGCATTACCACAGAGAAGCCAATAGCAAACTGAGATGGAAAGCACACTCACAAACCCAGCGCCTTTTTCAGCTGAAGCCAAGTGTTACTCTTCACCCTAGATCCTACAACTGCGTTGTAGTGCTACATTTACAACTGAGGTACTTGCTGTTCAACTGTTACTTTAACACAGGGCCAGCAAGAAGAGAGTTCATCTCCTGAAATGCTACTTAGAAGCACTTTTGAGACATGCCATTACTGTATGCTCTCAGCCATTACTGTAGATAGATGCTTGCTTGATAAATGTACAGTTCATTAAATTATTAAGAAAGAAAATCTATTAGAAACCAAATATCACACAAGTTCATTACTAAAAGTCCCAATAGCAATAGACCTGGAGAGAATTTTTACATCTTGTAACACCTTCACCTGAGAAGCTGACACTTACAATAAAAGCTTAACATCCTCAAGCAACCAGCTCCACCAGAACGTATCACCGCTACAGAAAGACATGGTCCAAATAACAAAACACATCCACGCTTGTCACTTTGCACGCACGCCCCTGGAACCCCCCTCCTGGAAAGATGTCAAACGAGAAGGGTGAGAGAACAGCACCCTTACAGCAACTGAAACACACTCCGTATTTTCAATGCTTGGCTCTCACAATTCGCCTTCCCAACCTTACAGACAGAGGGAACACAGCACGGTACTTGGTACTGAAACACAAGCTCAGGTTTTCTCATGCAGACCCTACGCTCTCCAACGAATTAGGTCGTAGCAGAGCAATTGCAATCAGAAAAATGGGTTTTTTTCCACCCTTTTCTTTCACTCCATTGAGCTCTTTGCTCAAGGCACCGAGCCCTCATTGCCTTTCGGCCCAGCTGTGACAAAAACCTTGCCCACGTGCACGCCTCGAACGCAGACATTGTATCAGAGGGTGTACCTGTGAGCAGAAAGCAGCACCACGGCATGCTGCACGGCAGAAGAGGCCTGTGATGGAAAAGGCCGTCCTGGAACTTTTATCCTGCTGACAAGCAGGATATCCCAGTAAGGGTGCAACATCCCAGCCCAAGGTTCGCTTTCTGTTTCTCCCGCACTTCCAGGCACAACTGGAAGATAAAAAAAACCTCACAACTCCAAGGCAAGGAGTATTTCCAAGCCCCTTCTTTATGCACAATCACATGAAATTCATCTGCTTTCAATCAGTAAAACAACACGTAGTCAGAGAAGAATATAACTGCACGCACTAACGTGTTACCCGCCATTACTCTTCTGCAGATCTGAAAAGCACAGACAAGCCAGTAACAGGGACAACTGCCCAGTAACTAACAGAGACAACTGCCAGCGATGCCATTCTTCTACAGCTTGACTCTCTAGGCCCAAACTGCTTCCCTGCAACCTAACCTCCTGCTTTGAAAAGGCAGGAACATTCCACACACAACGTTTTCCAAAGCGACCTAAACACAACGCCCGTGGCAAAACCCAGCAGAACCTGCGTCTTGCCCTCCAAGAGCAGCCACGCTCTGCAGGAGCCCACGCAAAAAACTTGACCTCTTCAGTGGCACCACGAGAACTGACCACGACTCCGTGTTGAGCAACGAACCTCACAGCGATGCCTTCAGGAACGCCCGTGACCTTCAGAAATGCACACAGTCAGCACTACCAGTGCAGCTCCAGCAGGCACCAAGGGATCTTACCACAACATCTGATTTCAGCTGCAGCTTATTACACAAGTACAGAAATTGCACAATTTCAGAAGATCGACTCCGCCTCTTTCACAAAGGTATCTTGCTACTTTATTCCTCGTGGCTCTAAAGAAGGCACTCAGGTTTGTGAAGGCCAGAAATACTCTATTCTGCCTTGACTACAGGCTGTTAAACACTTCACCTGTAATGAAAAATCCAGGAGCAGTAAGGGCCTGAAAGAATACACACTGACTGCCACCCCACTGGGGGGCAGGGAAACGACCAGAAAAACGCCAAACCTCGCAAACACGCATTATCCAGCTTTTAGCATGAAATCCAACTACCAATTTTGTTTCAGGGGCGGGTGTAAGTTGATATAATAATCTTATTTCCAACAAACATGAAGATTGCATCTGAAGAGAAAAAAAGAATAAAATTCAGATTTAATGCTCATAGCAAAGCCAGTCACCATCTTACATGACAGTTAATCCTCAAAAAGAAACACATAATAATGCTGGAGACTCTGGGCCTTTGAGTCTTAGACTTACAATCAACATCAGCAGATGCAAGACTTCACTCACTAAATCAAGGGGTCAAAACAACAACAACAACAAAAAACCAAACACAAAAAACCCACGAAGCACACAAGCACACCCATTTCTAGCCTCACAGCATAGCTTTTAAGGCTGGTTAAAAGTTAGCAAGAAGAACAACAGAAAAGCCTGCTTTTAGATGTGTTAAGTTTGTACCCAGACTATTAAGAGACACCATTCTATCAACTCTTCATGGCTATAGAAGAGCTCTAAAGGAATCTTTTAAAGGGTACTGTGACATCCCGTGAGACACCTTCAAGGCCCAATCTGGAAATGTCTTATTCAAAGGTTACAGGAGTTTAAATAGCACCTGTAGTCAAGGAAAAAGTGCCCAAGTTCATAATTTAGTCTCTACTCCACGAATCACTTTTGCACGTTGACAAGTGCACTCCACAAAAGTGATTTCCCCTTTAGCTCGTCTCTTGAGACGACCTCCCGGTATCCCCCTGGGAAACACCATGTTCACCTGCACTGCCTTTCCTAAGTGAGTACGGGACAGGAGGGAGGAAAGAAGCAAAGCAAACAAAAAAACCTGGGGCAACTCCACTTCACTCAACCCTTGTAGTCCAGAAGTCTACCACCACATCCCCACATACTGTATTTAACAGCCCAACCGCTCCTTACAACAACATCCAATGTGGGCAAGTTATAAACACCACAGAACCTGCACAGTTCCACGGCATTTCAGACACTAAACATAAACTTGATAGAAGAGCTGCAAGTGATCCATTTAACCTTTCCCAAAGTCTGTGCAATAAAACACTATCCCACTTCAGCTGGCCGCTGGAAGAAACATGCTGCCTCTCTTCATCACACGGCAAGAAATGCTGCTACAACCACTGCGTCCGGGGAGCTGACAAACAGGGACACACATTTGTTCCTCTCAACAAGGGGTTAAACCCAAACCGCCGATTTCAACAGTCAATAATGTCTGTCAACAATTCCAGCTCTCTCTAATCCCTCTCTGGCCTCCCCTTCCTACAGCCTCACAGTCGTCTCCATTGTACAACTGTTTATGGTCATGGAAACCCAGGCTGTGTAGCTGATACTGCCTCTACAGTCAGAGCGAGCTGTGAGCAACAACGGGAACGGTGGGGCGCAGGTCGAGCACAGCGCTGCCTCACGGCACTGCAGATGCTTTCAACCACGTCACAGAGCTCTTCCTCAAGAGCAGCCCTCAATCACGCAAAAAGTGATTAACACAAAAAATATGTTTTCCTATGAAGCTGTCTGCATTATGTCATACATAATACAGGTCAATAATAAGCCAGCATGAGAAACAGGTGGCAAAAGAACTGGCGACACACTTTACTGTTTGACCAATAACACAACTTAGGAATACACAAAAACACATGCCCCCCTGCCTCCTCTGCCTGTTCTCTCTTCGGAAGAGAGCCCAAATTCCCGAGGAACACCTACGACCAGAATTCATTTCGCTCTGCATCTTGAGAGCCCTTATCTGATGCCACACCGCCCTCCAGGACTGACTCAAAAGGAAGCTTGCCACGTTATGCACGACTACATTTTTTCACAGCAACCTCAACACCGAACAGAGATCCAAGTTCAGGCTGTAGACCACACTGAAGCCTACAAAAGATGGGTATTACTTTATCACCGTAAAGCTTCAAGCTGCTTGACTGACCCATCTGTCCCTTTCATAAGGCAAAGGTGTGCCATTGGGGCACTTCATTTTCTAATAAGCATGGCATCCCCCCATATATTTAGGGAAACACACTCGCACCTACTTCAGGTGGCACCAGCACTCTCTGCCTCCCATACCAGTCAGACTTCTTCGACTCGGGTCTGTATCAGAAACACTAAACCACTTGGAAAACTGCTTTCCGATGACGACACCCTCTGCTGGACAGTTCTATGGTGCAACCACAGCGAACGGGGAGCAGCCGGCTGCAATCACTGCGTCAGACTCGGCTCATCACAAAACCTGTCTCTGTGCCTACACAGAATACAACGGCTTAACAGGGGAAGCTGAAAGAAAGCGCCTAAAACCCGCGCTATGGAAGGTACCGGGTCATTCTTCCTCAGGTTCCCTATGCAGAAGCGCTGGAACACACGCCCAGCCTGCTCAAAGGGATTTCTGGATCAGCATCGCAAGAGAAGACGAGTGAGAAATGTCATGAGGAACATAAACGCACAGACAGACTTCCACGAAGCTGACAGACTGCTTCTAGTACCACATCTGCTCGGAACTATCTGAAAACACACGGTGGCCTGCTTTTACGAGCAGCTTTTCGTTCAAAACCACCTTCAAACATTTACCCCCTCATGCAGGCACATGTTTCACAGTCTGCTACGTTTTACCAGTCTTACCAGATTTCAGACCAGAAATTTTGAAGATGGCACTTGGCTTCTCGTTAGTGACAAACCCCAGCAGCTGCCACACTGCCACCCCGCTCTGGTCCGGGTAACAGAAATAGACAGATCCTCCCATTCCTTCTGGAAATGGTATAGTTCCCAGCATGAAGACCACTACATGGTTGATGTTTTCATAGTCCGGTAAATCAAATACAAATTTGTCTTCAGCCACTTGTTGGGGAGCTGCTTGTACCTAAAGAGAACAAAACCTGTATTAGTATCATGATGTTTTTCATCTTTGACTGCAACTGTGAATTTCCTTTTACAGAAACACACCTAAAGTGGAACATAACAAAACGTGAGGAACGTACTAACCTAAATAGCAAATCGCCAGATAAAAGTCAAACACAGCAGAAGAACAACTGCAAAAAATATTACCAAAAAGGCACAACACTCTCGTTCTACCTGCGCTGAACATATATCCCACCCGGGACTACAGGATCAGGATACCTTCGCTCCCCATGTGCGTAGGAGGAAAATAGGGTGCAGAAGAGGTTGCCAAGTCTATAAGCAGTGGCTGTTGACCACCTGGCTGGCACAACCCCAGGATCATGGAAACCTGTTCACATAGGAAATACAATAGACCTTGAGACAGGCAGCAGCAGGATGGCGAAATGCCAGAGCAAAAGATACCCTCCTCTTTACCCGAGATGCCACATCCTCGCAGCCAACGCACAATCTAGCCTTAAAAAGCTTCTTTTGAGCTCCCAGCTTGTCTCCGAGGAGCCCAAGCCTCTCCGTTCACGG